TGCTCTGAGCGTTGAGATCATTAACTGCTCAGCTGCAAAGCATTTGAGGAGTCACAGGGTGAGCAGGAGCCTGTCTTGGCCACAGAGCCAGCAGATGATTTGAGGGCTCTGTGTTCACCTTCCTAAAAGCAGCTTTCTCCCAGCAGCTACTTCAGCACAAGACACACAAAGGAAAACTGTGTAAGGAAGGAACTCTAACTTCCTCTAAAACAAGGAATTATTATCCAGTCAAGCTGGTGTGAGGGTGGAAGGAAATGACTTCGTGTTGGCTCTTAAAAACTCGCTGCTCAGTAACGCTCTGCAGAGAGCTTTGTTGGTCTGAGATGTCTTGCAACTGGAATGCTGGAACAGGGATTTCTAATCCAATCAGGACACCAAGGGCATGGGTTATTTCGAGGAACATGACATGCCTACCCACAGTAACCCCAGTGAGCTGCCAGCTCCCTGCTTACGCTGTAAATCCTGGCACGCAAAACCCAAACTCCTGGAGTCAAATGACCACATGAGGCTCTTATCTGACATTTCTAGAGGTCCTGAGCTTCAGGAGCTCGGGGTTACAGAGGTGATCAAGCTGATATATGAAAGCTAAAAGGCATGGAAACAAGTGCAACCAGTGCCGGAGGGTGACATTTGGATTCTCCTGGAGAGTGACACTTGGATCCTCCCAGATCCCAGGGCAGCCAGGCTGGGATCAGCAGCTTCCCTCCCCAGGAAAAACACCCACAGTTCTAGCGAGGTCAAACTGCAAAGTCAGGACAGTCAGTCCAGATTCCTTTGTGGGTTATAAATAACTGGAAAGAGGGATCACACTGAACAGGTCCCTCCACGTTTATTCCAAGCTCCAGTGCTAAGAGCAGCTGCCAGGTTTAGGCCAGTCAAAAGCCAAAATAAAACCACTGGAGTAGATAAAACTGGACAACAAGAAACTGCCCCGAGGAAAGCAACTTGATCTGTAATGTGCAGCAATTACAGTCACTGAGCTAAGGCAGGAAATTTGTCCTTACAGGATATCCCAACTCATTAATAAACCGTGGGGCACGTGAGCCTTGCCAGCCCAAAGCCAATTAATTGAGCCCAAATGCACTTAGGACCCTTACAGACCTGGCTCTGCCCAGCACTGCACGGGGTACCCAGAATTCCGGGGTTCTGTTTGTTCCCTGTTTCTGCAGCTCTAAAAAAGCCATTTACACCAGCAATATATCCTTGGCTTCCCACTATCTTTGCAGTAAATCCAGTGTCTCTGAGCTCTTTTTTCTCCCTTTTAACAGTTCTTTCCTCCTGCAGGAAGAACAGTCAGTTCCAGGACTGGATTATTGGATCTGGCACCGACTCCAACGACTTTAATGGATTATTCTGATTATGTTAAAAAGGAAAAAAAGATAGACTACCTGCTTTGAGTCCTCTGGGGAAAGAGATTATCAGCAGCAGGTTTCCTGGCTGGGGGAGCTGCAGTGCCTAGCAGATATTTATTGCAGAGGAGAGGTTCACCTGCAGGCACCCACCTCCTTTATATGTATCTTAAATTCCAGTCTCAGGGCCCTTATCTCCAAGAGATCTTTAGTACTTCTGCAACATGCAGGTGACCAGTGCTAAAGCACAGCACTGTTATGCAGATGCTAAAATGTGAGAGCATCTGTTGAGAGAATAAAACACCCTCACGTAGCCAAGAAAATATTTATGGCTCTCCCTTTACCATCCACTTACCAGCATATATTCCCATGATAAAACGGGAAATGATGATTGCTTCAAAGGTTTTTGCTAGTTCTGAGGTCCCCATGAGGATTGCAGAAGAGATGGAGAAGAGGTTATTTATCAGCAAAGTGCCCTTTCTGCAAAGTAACAGGAAAGGAGACATTCAGCTTGGTTTTTCTAAGGCCCCCAGGGTGCAATGCTGTCCCAAACCCCAATGACTCATCATCCCAAAGACTGATGAAAGTGCCAATTGTCCCATTTTTCCTGCAGGGGATGAAGGCTTCCAGAAAGAACTGAAGTTTCTCAGGAACCCTGAGCAGCAGGAGCTGGGCCTGATCTCAGCCCAGCACTTCCACCAGTGCTCTCTGGCTGGCTCAGTGCCCAGCACACAGCCTGGCCTTGGCCATCCTGAGACCATATAAATTCCTGACAACACCTGTAGCTGAGCCCAGCAACTCATCCTCATCCCAAGTGCTTTACTGCCAAGGTGGGTGTGGGAAATTCATCCTCCCAGCTGGAGTGACCAGTGAGACAAGTCTTATCTGAGCCCTGGGGTGAGGGATCTCAGGCACGGCTGTCACGTACCTGCCACAATTGTTGACCATAGGATACACCAGCAGGGACCCAAAAAAGCCACCCAGAGGGAACATGGACACAGTAAGAGACCAGAGCAGTGTCTGGAAGGCACTGTTCATGGGCTTCCCAGTCCTGTCCAAGTAGGTTTGGTTGTAAAAGTCTTGCATGTACTGGAATGAAACACAGAGCACGTTTAGCACAGTCAGGACAGTTTTCGTGCTGTAAAAACCAAACAGCAACAAATGCCATAAAGCTTTAAATGAATGTCTTAATAAAAAACCAGAGTGGGTGAGTGGGAGAACAAATAAAAGAGAGGGATAGAGAAGCCTGGACTAGATAACTGCTACTACAAGTTATCCTGACTTACAGGATGTGCCTGGTTCCCAGAGGGGAAGGCATTTCTCACAGTCCAGCTCTCCTGAGCACAAGGAGAGTACAAGCACCTCCCCACAAACCCCTATAGTGAACTGTTACACTTGTTGGGTTTGTAAACCTGCTCCTAAATGTTTGCAAACCCACTCCTAAGTCATGGGCCACTCCACAGCTGGACCTACCGGGGCTGGAGAGTTGATCACAGACACGTTGTAGCCGTACTGGAAAGAAGATCCAAAGGCAGATATCAGAGCCACCAGGGCAAGGGAAATGGTCATTTTCTGTAGAGGGGGAAGAAAACAAACAAACAAACACCGCCTTAGAAGCAGGTCTGGTTCTTAGGCATTAACGACATTCAGTAAAAATAAAGAATTACCTCAAGCCTTGGTTTTCTGTGTTTTTCCCCTTAATTTTACTGCATATGAAAGCCCAATGGGTTGTTTTCATTACGACTCATTTTGTTCTGCTTGATTTGCACATAGTCATTACAGTAATTCACTCTGTGCTTTGCTGGTATTGATGAATCATTGGGATGATTAAATTTTTTTTTGAAGCTATCATCCTTAAAGTACCACCCCACAGGGAAAAAAGGTTGTAAACAATTACTCTTTTTCCCACATGCAAATTGGGTAAGGAAATAACACAGGATATCGGCGCAGGAAAGCTTTAAAAAGAAGTGATTTTGCATCAGGTGGCAAAATCCCTTTCCTGTTAATTTTTTCCACCTCCCACATTCTGGGACCACGCTTTTCACGGATCTAATTGATTGTCACTGAAGCCAATTAGAACTTATCCGAGTAGCTCAGCGAGGGCTTGGTTGTGGGGTACAAGAGCTGCACTTTGCAGTTAAACAGGCGAGTGGAATTGCCATCTGGAGGGGGATCAAACACCACGTTTGTGGGTACACAGTGCTCAGGGCTCCAAACAACTTGCCTTTCACAACAATTTAGTTGCTGTTCAGCCCCCGGGCTGTGTTGACAGAGCTGGGTTGTTGGGTTTTTGCCTGGTTGGTTTTTACAGCTCGCTAATGCATCTCATTGCTGCTACAGCAATAAAGTCATTTTAGGAAAACCTCTGGCGCACGCGAGCTGTTGTGTTGCGCAAGACTCCACCAAACGCTGCTGTAAAAGGCAGCCCCACCCAGAAAACTAACACTGTAGCCTAAAATTGATTAGACAATACGAAAGAAAACTCACACACAGAAGGGGGAAGTCACACAGAAGTTACAGGGTGGGTGAGCTGCAGACAGACAGAAAATCACAGCACTCAGTGCAACCCTGCACTGCAGACAGACATAAACAGGGCTCAAGAAATACTCGTCTCTGCCCTCCCTGTGGACGTGCCAGCCCTTCTCCTTTCCCTACAGGCATCCAGAGATTTCCAAGAGCTCGTTCTGTGTCTCTCTGGGAGGCTCAAGCTGGAAGAAGGGAGTCAACATACTCACCCCCTTTGCACCTTCACTTCTGTCTGAGCTCTCCTGCTCCCCTCCTTTCAGCTTCATTTTTGGTGTTTGAATCCCAGATGCAGTTTTTGGAGTGCAGGTTTTTACAGATGGAACAGCCAAGGCAGGGGATGGAAACGCCCCACGCAGAAAATCCCCCTCTGTGACTCTTCCAAACACATCCGATCAACGACAGGCTCTACCAGCTGGAGTAAGTCCTTGTTGCCTGATCATTCCCTTCCTGAACGTTTCTTTTCCTTGCTCGAGCCTGTCGCCGCGGGGGCAGATTTGTGTCACCAGATCCTGTTTCAAACAGAGGTGCTGCCAGTTAACAGGGGAAACAGGCTCATCTCCAGCGGGAAGGGGCAGATTTATTGCAAAAAGTTGCTAAATGAGCCGGTTCATAGACATGGACGAGGTGAATCTATAGCACAGAGCCGCTGCTCCTTCCCCCCTGCAGCCCATGGACAGCTGTGGATGGCGCAGCTGGAGACGCTGCCCAGCAACTGTGGAATCCCGGGAAAAGCAGGGCATTCTACGGGGGTGGGGGGGGCCGGCAGCAGAGAGGGTGTTTGCCATCTGCCACAGCGATCCAAGTGAACCGCATTAACCCCCCCTGCAGCCACAAACCGCACCTGCCCTTGGCCCCAAACGCTGCTCCTCGTCCTACCTTGCTCTCAGGCACTTCTGCGGTTCACAGAGGGCAGGTTCATCCTCTCAGGGCTGTGGTTTCCACAGCACACGAGGTTTTTCCACCAGCACTTTACGTTCCTTTCCCTCTGCGTGCAAAAGGTGGCACCACGTGCTGCTGGCTTGGTATGAGCCTCCTGCCTTACGGGACTGCTCTGAACAGCCCAGCACTTGGTTAATAGTCGACTACAATTTATAGAGTTTAGCAGAGAAATGCAAAGTTCACAGATATCTCCAGCAGCTGGAGGAAAACCAGCCTCCTCTTTATTAGTCCATCTATCTTTAACAGTCAGCTCAAAAAAAACACGTCCTCTTGAGCAACAGCTCTTTTCCACGTGTCCTGCATGTGTTCTTTAACTGGCTGGCTTGAGCACCAGCTCTTTTTCCACGTGTCCTGTATATGTGTTCTTTAACTGCTGCAGCCTCCCTTCCTCCAGGTAGAAGGGGCAGAGCCCTGCCACTTTTAGAGTAGTGGAACTTAGACCCCACACTTCTTGGAATTTCTCTTTTATTGCTTTTGTTACAAGTGAATGACAATAAGGACACAGCTCTCCGAGATATCTGATGGTGGGTCACACCTTAAGAACCCTCCTGTGTCACAGCTGCTGAGGTCACAGCTCACTCAGCAACTGGTGGTGTTCTCACCCTTCACAGATCTTTAGCCAAGAGGGAAAATTCTGCCCCAGGGGTGGGAAAACTGCAGAAAAGGACACTTTTCTTTCACAGAATTACTGTTCTTTAAAGACAGCCTAATTTTGCTGGGAGCTCTTGGAGGAATGACAACTGCTCTGATGTAATTATTATAAGGGAGGAGAATTCTCTATCGTGGTCTTTAAATTCCTTTCCTGAAGAAATAATCTTGACACATGCAGAAATTAAAGAAAACATGCAAGTTTGTCATCAGAAATCCTCCCTCAGAGTAAATATTTGCTTAGGGCAGCAGAACAGTTTGAAGATTTACCAAACACAGCAGGAATCTGACAACACCCCTAAGGTGGTAACTGGCGCCGGGATGACCTTGGAAGAGATTGATGAAGGGAGACAGGGTGATGGATGGACTTTCAAAGCAATTGCAGGGGTGTAACACCTTCAGCACTTGAGATCCTGTTGGACTTGGGCACAGGACAGAGCCAGGAAGAAGCAAAGAGCCAATTTTACAAGCATTTTACAATTTCAGCTTCTGCACACGTTGTGCTTCTTACATCTGCCCTTCACCCCAGAGGGTGTTTGCCTGAAGACATGACCTCTACTCTGGATCTCCTCTGCCCTTGCCCACCATGTGGCAAGAGTTCCCAAGCACTTGTGCAGGGATTTATTTACCCTCAGCCCAATTGTCTGTGCTAAAAGCTGGATCCTATGAAACCCTGAGATCTTTAGGGGAGAAAAAAACAAACAAACAAACAAAAAACAAATTAAGAGGGGAAGCTTAGTTTCCAGGACATGAAATCTGCTGGAGGACTTCAGTGGTGAGCTCTAGAAAAGCGCTGGTTGGGTTCACTGCAATGCCTGCCCTGAGGAGGCTCCTTAGGAGACATCCCACACCAAGAGAGTGACATCAGCAGCCTTTCCATCTGCATTTTGGGAAGGAATTGCATGTTCAGTCAAGGCTCAGTGTCATCTGCAGTCCTGGGCATAACCTGGGGCACTGAGCTACAACTGGGGCCTCAAGGGCAAGCAATGATTTAAGAAACACATTATTTGCCTGGAAATGAGTCATATGCAGATACTGCTTTATCAGCTGCATAAAAGGCTTCCAGGCAAGTAAGCAAGAGGTAGATATGGCAGCCTGATCCCCCAGGAATAGGAAAGGGGTGCTGGATCCAGGACACTGCAGGGAACGGCAGACATGGGGCTCTGGAATTAAGAAGCAAATGAGACCCCATTTTCTCTGCACAAAGGCAATGCTGGGCAGCGTCCTGGTAAAGGAACGAAACTTTATTTTGTACGAGTTGGAGAAATATTTTAACACCAGGCAAACGAGGAGCTGTAAATAAAGTAAAACATTATCTCCAAAGAGTAAACCAAGCAAACCAACCCCCATCCCCTCCCCAGGTCTGATGCAACACTCCCAAAGCAAGAACAGACTGCAGCCTTCAGCAGGGGAGCTCTGGAGCTCAGAGCACTGGCTGGGCACTGCTGGGAGGGCTGTCCTTGCGGGAGGCTCTGGGGAACATCCCTGAGCACCAGGGCACTCTGCAGAGTTCAGATTTCCTCAGGAGGCAGCTCCCGGGCTGCCACCACAATCCCTGATGATGATGAAGGCCCTCAGCCATCCAGGAGGAGGAATAAACCAACCAGAGGAACCATCCACCACCACCACCAAACAGAGACGTTTGTTTGCACGTTGTTGTCCGTGTTCAAGTGAAGAACAGGAGCCAGCCTGGAGCTCCCGGGAAGATTGGCACGCTAGGGCTGAAATCCATGCCCAGCACAGTCCTATTCAGCAGCTACTGAAGTTTCCCTGTCCCTGTGATATTTGCTCACCTCAGAACTCACCACACATTCGCCTCGTCAGACAGAAAAGCAAAACCCCAAACCGATTTCTAAGATTTTTAGCGGAGGGTGAGGGGAAGAAGGGAAGGAAACCAGGAAACTGGAGCGCAGTTAAACAGTCTCTTCCAGAGGATCCTGAGCAAAGTTGAAGACCAAAGCCTTTGGTATGTGAGGGCAAGGAGGAGTGGGACCTTTTCCATCTGCTCAGCCTCTCCAGCGGCGCGTTTCCCGGGCTTTAGCTCCCTCTGTGGGACTCCGGGATGATCCCACACCTGCACAGAACAAAGCACAGTTACAACCCAGGACTGTCGCCCCACCCTGCAGCCTGTGCACAGAGCCTGGCACAGCCTGTGCCAGGTTTTTCCCAAGCCAGGAGGCTTTGCTGCAGCTCGAGCCCCAGGGATGTCACCTTGGAGCAGCTGGAACAGGCGTGATGGACCCACTCCTACAACACATCCTGGCACCACAACCTCAGCCACCTCCAGGAACACCTGAGCTGGAATTCTCCAGTCCATGCCTGACAGGGGAGAGTTCAGAGCCATCTCCACACCCAGCTGAGGCACCTGCCCTGCACTCACACCTCACCCAGAGACCGAGGGGCACCTGCCAGGAGCAGCCAGGCACTTCCACACATCACCTCCCCTATCATCCCATCTCCCTTCGTATTTAGGTCACCCTCAACTTCAGTGCTAGGACCCACAGGCATTTCTAAGAGGTTCTCTGTTGGCTGTTTTTCTTTCTCTGCCCTTGCTGACACGAGGATGTCAGAGATGTCACAGACTTCTGGTGTTTACAACCCAGCTTGCTTCCCCGGAACCCCTGGAGCTGGAATTGTAATTCTGGTGAGCTGCACATTCCCTTCAAAAGCATTTCTCAGAGCTCTGTAATGGAAAAAGGCAAACTGAGAACATGGAATCTGTTTTGATTATTTTTTGTGTGTTGGGTGTTTATGTGTGTGTGTTTTGCTTTGTTTTCCCTTAAGCCAAGCTGGTGACAATTTTATTTTCTCTCTTCAGGGCTGGGTCCAAAAAACAGAACACAGCATAACACTAAGTCTCATAAAATTCAAAAATTACTATCCTGCCTTTCTACAAGAAGTTTAACACAGCTCCTCTTTCCAGGCCTCATGGGACCAACATGAAGTTGAGCTACCCAGGTTGCTATTTAGCTTTTAGAAGTTTAAAAAAGCCTTTTGAAAGGAGGAAAAAAAACAACCTCTTGAAGTTATATGTGGCAAAGATAAGATGTTTTCATCTACCTTTCAAAGACTCCAGGGATGGTAAGAGCAGAGCCCTTCTACATCCCCTTTAAATGGGCTCTGAGCTCTTGAGGGCTCCACCTCCCCTTGTTTACACAACCTGTGCACAACGGGGCTTAAATATACTAATATAGTAATAAAGCTAATGCCAAGGCTTCAGGAAATAACAGGGCCTGCCTCTGCCTACAGTCCCCTAAGAGCTCTGGATCATGTAACTGTTGTGCTTGCTGTTAGGGTGACTAAAATAAACTAACAAGAGCAGCTTTGGAGCAGCCGGGTGCCCGGAGCAGCAGCAGCCTGCCAGCTGCCCCTCCTCCCCAGACAGCTCACAGGGCTCCTGTTCTGCTTGCAAAAACCTGGCCTACAAATTGAAAATGTCAACTGATTAAAAATAAAGAGTCCTTTGTGGTTTTTTGGGGCTGTGTGGTTCTGGGAGGAGAAGAAAGAGATGCATGCAGGAGAGATCCCCTCGGAGCCCCACAGCCCCTTCCCTCCAGGATGCTCATCCCCTGCCATCCCCATGTCCCAGGCAGGCACTTGCCTTTCAGGCTCAGCCCTTTGGACTGAGTGGGACCTGCAGGGAGAAGTACAACTGCAGAAGCACAGATGGTTTCATACCCTTCCTGAAGAGGCAGCACATGCCAGCACATATATCTGAACAGTCAGGACAGCTGCTCTCTCCTGGAGAGAGCTCTATCAATACCTGCTTCACAGACAGAGACCCACACAGCACCCCGGCCCCAAGTGCTCTGCAATGGACTCTTTGACACCCCTATAAATTCTGCAGCTCTCACTCATGAGGTCAAGCACAAAGGAACCAGGTGCTCACACAACAGTGCAAGGACATCAGTGCCCCATCTTGTGTCTGAAACTAAGAGATTCTGTCGAATTTTTGCTCCTAGAGACTTTCTAGGCAGGCTTGGATGAATCACTTCCCCTCCTTTTCCCTTTCATGGTGACTGGCAGCAGGGATTGTGTTCCCTCATGAGGAAAACTCAGGGCACTAAACATCTGAACTGTGCAGTGCTGATGAAATGTGTGTGCACGTGGTATTTTACATCAAAAAGAGCCACTAATTCCTCTTCTTCAGTTTTCACTGGTGTCCTGTCCTTGAGGGCCAGACAGCCCTGCAGTCTAGTTCCTCATTTTACAGACTCGAGTAACAGCCACCACCCCAGCTCGGGGGAAAGGGAGGGTGGAGCAGTCCTATAAATGGTTTAGGACCTGCAAAGTCAGACAGGGAATCCCCCCCAGCAGCAGCAGCAGCAGAAACCCCCCTCTGCCAGCTGCTCCCTGGTAGCTGTCCCCACCCCTCCGACCATGAAGCACAGGCAAGGCAGGAGGAAAGACTCACACTGGATTTTTTTACCATGAAAGAAGGACTCAACGCTGAGGTGGAGGCAGCTCAGGTGCTGGAAAGCAGTGGCTTTGTCTGCTCGGGGCCTGGCACGTCCTTGTGGGGTTCTGGGCGCTGCCAGGAGCTGTTTGATCTTTGCCAGGGCCAATCCCCCTCGTCGTGTTTGCAGCAGCAGATGAAGGAAAGCAGCCGAGCCCGGACGACCCGAGTGCAGAGCACAAACATGATGCAGTTGGCACCTCCTTGGAACGTGTTACCAATTCCCTGCAAGGGCAAGAAAGGAATGAACTGGTGCTGCTCCTCCAGGCACCCCCCAGAGAAGAGAAAACATCATGTCAGACAGACCAGCTGCATGACAGTCACCAACTTCACCTCAACGAGAAAAAACAAATTCAGGAAAATAAAGCTTTTTTTTTCTTTTTCTTCTTTTTTTTTTTTTTCCCCAGAGAGAGCACCCGAAAGCAGAGCAGAGAGCTGCTGTGGGCTGGCACTGCTGCAGCCTGGTGTAGGGCAGCAGCGGGCTGAGCCCTCCTGAAGGACAAACACCCAACATTCCTGGTCTGAGCTGCTTCTACAGGCAGCTGGCACTGTCCATCCCTCCCCGCTGCAGCTTTATCCTGCAGCCACTAGATGCTGCTGAAACAGCTGCTGCTGGAATCGCTGCCCCTGCTGGAACCACTGCTGTGGCTGAGCATCCCGGGCAGCGCTTGCCAGCAGGGAGCAGGTGTTCTCCCAACGCAGCATCCTGCCAAAAGAAGGGATATCGAGAGCACCGAAACCTCACCTCCCTCCCGATGCATTTCCTGGCGAATACTCACATGCAGGACAACCAGGGCTGAGTTCTGCACGGCAGGGGAGTTGCAGAGGGTCAGGACGAACCTCACAGTGCTCCAGATGCGGAGGAAGATGAAGATGACAGGGATGAGAATCAACTTCTTGTCCGCTATGGAAGTCCTGGGCTGGAATGCAGGTGCTCCCGAGAGGATGGGGCGGTACTCTGAGAGAGCTGCATGCTTCCAGGGAGGGGGAGAGAGAGAAAACATCAACAAAAACCTACACACGTTGGACATTCAGCTCCAGGGATTCTTCCCAGAGCAAATTAAATCTCTGCATCCTGCAGGAATTTAACAGGGGCACAGTTGTGAGCACCGGCCACACTCTGCCTTTGCAGGCAACAAACATTCCTGCTGGAGCCAGGGAGTGGCAAATAAGGGAGGTCCAGCCCTTATCAGAGTCCCACTAAAGCTTTAGACTTGCACACATCACCGGGTAGTTGCCAAGAGACCAGGTCATAAGAATATAAATAAAAACATGGTGCTCCACCAAATAGTTTTGCCGGGGCAGTGCTGCTGGCCAGGACTTTGCAAATGGGGGGCCAAGAATTCAGCCTTGTGAAGGCCTCCTGCCATACATATATATATATAAAAAAATATATATACACATCTGGAAATATATATATGTATATCATATATTTGTGTAGAACCTGCTGCCTGATTTCTGATCATGTACTGTCAGCAACGGGCTTCTGTAGATTTGGACAAACCTCTCTCTGTACCAGCACATGTAGGGAAAAAAAAAAAAAAAAAAGAGGATCTGTGCCCTGGATCAGATTAAATCTCTGGAGAGCTGGCCTGCAGGAAACTGTTCCTCCTGCCATCAGGGTTACTGAGCACACACAGCTTTGATGCTCAGGGTTCTCCTTCGCTCCAGTCCTGCCAGTCCCGACACCTTGTTCCCAACAGGACAGAGCTGTGTGACCCCACTGCACAGTGGGCTGAGTCCAGTCCCACCGAGGGCTTTCAGTGCAGCTTCCCACCCACCCCCATGCAGTCTTTTCCCTTTGGAAAGCCCTCAGCACACACCTGTGTGTGTCCCCCACAACAGCTACTGCCAGAATTTCTCCTGCCTCTGACTGTGCAGGAGCCACTCCTGCCACACTCCCTTCAGCCAGAACACAGCCCCAAGCCCTGCTCTGGTTGCCTATTGCTCTTCCTTGGAAGTGGGAGGCTCCCTGCCAGTTCAGAAGCTCAGCAAGCAGCTCCAGGCCTGGCAAATTCCCCGGGGATGAGGAGAGGTGCTCTGGTCCAGAAGGCTCCACGAGCTGCTGCAGACCCTCAGACCCCCATGTGAGAGCAGTGACAGCCGCCTGCCCCCAGCCCTGCTCCCAGCACGGGGTCAGGGCTGCAGTGGGGAGGGAGAGCAGAGTTTCCAGGAATCCCTGGCAGAGCAGGAGCAGCAGCCCAGCCTTTTGGGCTGGTCAGGTTTCCAGGAGGTCACACTTCTATCTTTGACAGCGGCTGGGACACGGTGTCCTGTCGGGGTTATGTCAGGTGGTGCTGACAGGCACGAGCAAACCCTTCCCAACTCCCCTTTCCCAGGACACTTAGGGCTGCTTGAAACTACCCTGTTCTTCCAGCTTATCTGCAGGATCCTGCCCTAACCAGATTGGTCTTTATCCCTTACTACAACTGCCACAGCTACACAAGTGCAGTGGCAGCATTTTCCAGAAGGACACCTATCCACACGTGAAAGGGGTTTTTTAAACTCTAATACAACTTAGAGGAAAAAAAGGAATCCCTGGATGCAGTTCCTTCTGCCACTCTCAACCTAGATGTCTCTGTTATGCAAATGCTGTCCCAGATGCCTGGATTCTTTGTGTTCCCAAGGAACGACTAAAGCTCTGATTTCCAAAACCCTGCCGGGGCCAGGGTGTCTCCTGTGCAGTGTGTGTGTGGTGCCTGTTGCCATGTAGTGCCCAGACTCCCAAACAGTGCTTTATGCTGCCAGTACAAAACATTCATAAACACAAACTATCCTCACTGATACTGCAAGGACTGAGGTTAGATAAGTCCAGTCTCGGGCTGGGTACAAGTGGAACTGCAGAACACTGATTAAAGCAGAATTTTGTCCTTCACATCCTGTTTCAATTCTTATTGTAGGACTGAGCATTTCCCTCATGAACACTCCATAACCCCTGTACGTTCTCAAAAAGCTTTTACATCCCTGTGCTAAGCCACTGTGTGGTGGTGCTGCAGGGGCACTGCTGCTCCCAGGGGTGGGGACATTTCAGTGCTGGGAAGCAATTCCTGCCTGTGCAGCTGCTAAATGTGGCCCAGAAACTGCAGAGCACTGGGAAGGCAGAACCACAGAGCGAGTCTGCAACACAGCACAGTACTCACTGCTCTGTTAATGTGCTTCTTGATGAGGATGTAGAGCACTGGCAGGGTCACATAGGCCAGGATCTCCCAAACTTTCCCCGTCAGCAGCATCCACAGGACATGATCCTCGGCGTCCAGGTTGACCCAACACCAGCCCACGGAAACGTTGGAGGCGTCGTAGCCGATCTTCTTCAGAGCCACGGCCGCCACCGTGATGCCGAGGGGGACACCCCAGCTGAGGGCAGAGCACAGAGAGCAAGGTGAAGCCAAGAACATCCTGGGTTTAGTGCCCCCCACACCTCAGGGAAACGGGTGGCAGGTCAGGGATTCTCCATCAGCCAGGATGCCAGTGTTGTTCCAGACCATCAGGCTGAAGGGAAGGGGCTGACAGTCAGACAGCGTGGGGATGTGGACTGCAAATCCACTTCCTGAGGACCTGTTATAGGGATTTGGATCCCCAGTCTTGAAGGACAGATGTGTAAGGATGTGCTACACTCTGATCTGGCCTGCACAGCACACTCAGGGTGAAGAGGAGACATCCCACCCTCCCACCTACTCCCCTTCTCCCCTGGATACAGGTGAGGCTGAGGATTTGACAAGTCCAGAGCACTGCACATTGTGACTGTCCTGCAGGGCTCAGCCACCTCACTCAGGGCTTTCAGAACACAAACAACCAAATCCCACACTCTGATTCCAAAGTGACACTTGGCACATAAAGGACCGGCACACAAAGAAATCCACAACTTTGTTCCATCAGTGGTTTGGTTTGCTTTGAAGTGGAGGTGTAGGAAATATTTTGGGAGCAAAAGCATAATTTCTGAAGGACAAAGAGCAAGTTTCTTCCCAAGGAAAAGTGCTGGCAGTAACAGCAGAAAGCTAAGAATGCCAAGAGGAGCCATATTCACATAATTTGGAGCTGTGACTTCGGCTTGTCTCTTGACAGCAGAGGCAAATATAAGGAAGCATTTAGAAGAAAAACAACTGTGGTGACACACATGAATTGTCACTCAGCAGCTTGGGCTGCCCACAAGAAGCCACGAGGAAGAAGAGAAAAATTCCATGAGCCCACAGAAACATAAAAATGACACCAGGGCTGAAATAGTGCCCTGCATCCAGCTGAATACATCACCTGCCCTTCCCACATCCATCCTCAGGGGAAAACCCTGTGGAGCCTGAAGAGGGACAAGAGACATTCAATAAATGCCATAAATGCTTGAGAGTGCTCAGACTGAGCTCCCAGCACAACCCTCCTGGGCTGCCCAGGTGCAGAGAAAACAAATTCTTGCTCTTGGTACCTTCCTTGTTCACGCTTGTCTTCCACTGACAGCCTGGAGCAGCTGCAGAGAGCATGGAAAGGATCTTCCTCCCAAAAATGGGTTCCACAGGCACCAGACTATGTAGGCAAACAGCAGTTGCCTTGACCAGATTATCTGAAATTCCAGCTGAAGAATCAGAGATAATCCCATGTTATTAGATTTCAAAAAATACCCCTACATTTCCTACTTTTAAATAATGTCCAGGTTCACCTGCTCACAAAACAAACAAATGCAAATGTAACACTGTAAAAAAATGTCAGAGTCAAGCCTTCAGCACGTTTAGGACACTTTGTCTCAACGTTCAGTTCAGAACAGGCAGTGCTGACCCAAGCCAGGGCTGTTATTTAAGGACAGGGGTGCTGCAGGAAGCCCTCCCCACGCTGTTATCAGAGCAGGCTTTCTAAAAACATCCCAAATGTCACCACCACCGTGACACTTTTCACACAATCCAAGGCTCGTTTTGGTAAAAATGGGGATTTCTCTGAAAACCATTGCACGTGCCAAGACATTCCATTTTCAGCTCACTTGGAAGAACTAAGGTAAAGAATTCAAGAGAACTGGCATTTCCTTCGACAAACCACGTTAAGGCACGTAAGTACCAAGAAAAAGGAAGTGAATTAAGAAACTAATTTCTCTAAATAATCATCTCAACAGTGACCTGAAACTGAGAGAGAATCAAGATAAAAGCAGCTCAAATTACTGTGTGTGGATGTAAAACAGCCTAAGTCCACACAGACACAGCCAGAGAAGCCACAGTAGGAAATATCAGACCCCAAGGCAAGAGATTTACAAAAATCTTCAGTATATAAGTGGGAAAAGGACGAGTGTGGAAGAAAACTGCTGCACAGCAGGCAGTTAATTTTCACTGGAATAGCGTGTTGGGATCAGATGGATATTTATGACCAACACCAAGGACAAAGTGAAGTTGGAAAAACCACTTCAAAGTGAAGTCAGAAAGGATCTAGAAAGCAATCAGACATTTCAGTGAACTTCAGCTCCATTTTAGAAAAGTGGAAAGGAGAACTGAGACTGGTGATTTGGTTGTTCTTAAGAACTCCTAAATGACAGTTCACCAGGACTGCAAAATGCCAACGCTCTGCACCCAGCTGGAGGAATGGAGCAACTGAAGAACCAGGAGTCATCACCCCAGGGGTATGTAAAGAGTGGAATGAAAGGGATCCAGGATAACAGAGAGGCAGAAATATTCCTCTGAGCCTCCGAGAGCAATTATGTGGGCTGGGCCTCTCCAAAGCACACTTGGATCTACAGTCAGAGTGGGAGAGAAGGGGAAGGTGACAACTCCTTGCATCTCTGTAGGATGGCTGGAGATCCCACCTGTAAGGCAGACAAAACACTTCTTATTCCCCTAATACAGCTCCTGGCAGTGGATTACTAAAAAAACATATAACCCACTGTTATCCTTGCACATCAATACCACAACAAGGCAGGACAAGGACCCCTAAACTCCAGCAGCATTCAGCTCGATTTGCCCTGATTTTCTTGTCCTCAGTGTGCCTGGGTCAGGTTGTTTAATAACCACATTCTGATTTATGCTGCACAGCTGCTTTTTTTCCCTCCCTAGAGGCTCTTACAAGAGGTGATTTGCTGTCACCTGCCTGCACAGGTCAGACTACAAGCCATCCTGCCAGCAGGCCTGCAGGCAATTCCTTCTGGGGACAGGAATTTATCCTCTGTAGAGAAAGAAAAATCAGTCTTCTGGATATCCCAGCCAATATCCCAGGTAAAGAGCTTTGAGTACACCTTGCAAGCAGAACTCCAGAACAAATCTGCCCTAATTTAAGCCTGCATGAGGCAGCCCAGCAAGGACTGAGATGAACAGCACAGCAGTGCATGAAAGGACCTCAAGTACTCCATGGACATGCATGTGTATGTACATATGCACGGCATAAATATATATATAAACAAATACACATTTATATGTATGTATAAATATAAACAAGACATATATATGCTTATAATGATTAAATATTAATTATTAATGCTATAAATAAAGCATATATATGATTATATGCATCGCCTGATCACGAAATAAAAATACTTCAAAGGTTGTCAGCAATTGCTGTCAAAAGCCAAGAAAAAAAAAACCAATCCCAAGGTGGGTTCTGTCTGTCTGGTCCACTCCTCACCCTGAGTTTAGATCAGCTGCTCTCACAACAGAGATGACATTACCCAACCAGATGTTTAGAAATTCAGAACACGAGGTAGCCTGGTCCTGTACACCCTGGATGCCAGAACTCACATTTTGCAACGGCGTAAATGTTTCCAAAGCTGAGTGTAAGCTTGTTTTCAAAGCTCCTCTGAGCTGGGCGAGTTTAAAACCCAAACAGAGGCTGCAGCTCTCCAGCCCAGCAGCAGAAGAGGTGGATGTGTTACCACACCAGTGGTGAGGGACAAACCTGTTTGACAGGTTTGGTCCAGTGTGACATCCTCATTTCCCTCCGGAGACTTTCAGGTACTGACTTCCCAACATGTATTTAGTCAGCTCCACTCAGCTAAAGAATAAAGTCTCTGGTTGCACTCCACATCCACAAAGCACTCATCTTTACAAACACTTGCCCCTTGTGAGCAGCTGCTCCTGAAGAATGGGAAACACGCCTGACAAAACTCCATCCTGCCCTGGATCCCTTCCAAAGGTGTCTTGGAATGACTCTTCACACAATGGTCGCTGCATGACTGTGCTGGCAAACTACAAAGCAAGGAGGGGGGAAAACAAAAAAATCTCAGGTTCTTGCCTAGACAAAAAAAAAAGAAATTTAACTTTCATTACCTGCCTTTGTCACCTTTCTTTTTGCCCTAGACAGGTCTCCCACACTTACCTCCTGCAGCTAATATACAAAAAGACACCAGTGCATACATGGGTAGAAGTGGTTCTAATAGATTTTTAGGCTACCAGCACCACAGACTTCCAGTGGAACCCTGAAACACTGGAAAGGGTGAGGGGGAGCCACCTCCAGGCATTACCTCCCAAATTTCACTTCATGATTGAGTTCTCAGGTAACCATCAAAGTGCAGGGATGGGAAGCAGGATGATGTGTCACGAGGGGATGGGCACAGAACAGGTCCTCACTTGTTTTCCTCTGAGTTTTCATAAGCAGAAGCAGCTTTAACCACTGGCTCTGCACAGAGCAGGAGGCATTCACAAAGCAGCACCTGATGACAGGTGCTTTGTGAGTGCTGTCCAGACCCTTTTAACAGAGCAAGTGGTGCTGATCCACACCAAGGGCAGAAGATGGCATTTTATTTTCGCTGTAAAGAACTGAAAATAAACTTACGAATTCGCCCAGAGGGCAGCTCAGTTCGAGCTGTGTCACAAAGCAGAGCAATCTTTCAGGGCTTTTACAGTTTTGAAAGAGTGCACAGATTACAGCCAACCCTCTTTCAGTCACTCTGGCTGTTCCTTTCTGCACTTTGTAGCCCATGAGGCTGAGGAGCGTTAAACCAGAAGGAGAAACAAATACAGGCAAAAGCCGCCCAAGCAATTAGCAGAGAAGAAAATTACAAATAGACCAGATTTGCCTCAACTCTTTGATGTCTCCTGATGGAGCCAGCATGGCCATGAGAAGGAGTCAGACTTCTGTTTTCTGTCCATTAAGCAACTTGTGGCTCTTTACTGGCGCTCCATCCTCTCCACAGCTCTCAGAGTCTCTATTTACTTGAGATTAAATAATCTAAAAAACTCCTCCACTGTCTCACTCCATCTTATTTCAGCTTCACCACCACCAACCTGGTGTTTCCAGACACCTCAAGCTTCCTCACACAGCGACCTTGCTGTCAAGCAGCAATTAGAACAGGTAAGGCAGGAATTGAAGTTCCTCCCTGATTCACACTCAGCCTTAAAGTCTTTCTGTGGCACATCCTTACCTGCACTCTAATTAAATCATCTCCCAACTGATGCTGTTTGAAACTAAAAGGTGACAAATATTTGACTAAGAAACCAAAGAAAATTCAGTGTTTGTCCCAATGACTTCCCCCCCCCCCTTTTAAACCAGATCATTCTTCTTATAATTTATTGCAAAAGCTTGGCAACAAGGAGGACTAAAGGATCACTGTTTTGCTCAGCGTGGACGTAGCACATGATTCCACAAGCTCCAATTGCATAATGAAAGCTTTTACTGAACATGCTGTGGAAAATCAGCTCCCTAAATAACAGCAACCGAGACATGAAGCTACACTGCGGTCTGGCTCGTCTTGCTTTCAATCAAACACGCCAAAACAACCTTCAGAATGCTTTTCTAGCAGCAGCCTCATCACTTGCAGACGACATTCTCCTGTGGGTATTGAATTACAGCAACCTGCCCGGGGAGAGGGGGAAGGATCCACACACCAGGGAAGTCGGGGACCCGTGGAAACAGATCCCAAACGCGGGGGTTTTGGCAACAGCAGACAGGTATCGCAAACACGAGTTTTAGGATATTATTTCCAGGATGTAAGGGCAGAAGGCAGGATTTTTAGAGCTGTTATAACTTGCCAGAGATTTTTCTATGTGACCTTGAGCAAAAACATTTTTAACTTTTCCACGTCTCCAGTTCTTCACTTGGGAAGGGAGCGGGGGGTGGAGGGGGGAGGGTAACCAGCAGGGCTGGCTGGTTAGAAGACAGCAAAATCCATGTTTAAAAGGAATCTGAGAGGGGGACACAGACACTCTCCTTGAGAGAAGCACAGGTGATTCCAGCGGCCATCCAAGCGCTCCATCGCGGCACAGAGCAGTGGGGGCTCCCGGCCACGGGGTGGGTGTCGGGGGGTCCCCACCTCCCAGGAGCCGCAGGCAGCACCCACCTCACGGCGTGGAAGCAGCACAGCAAGCCCGTGCCCGTGGGCGAGCCCCTGACGATGGTGAGGTAGAGGTAGAGGGCGATGGCCATGGTCCAGAAGAAGGAGCTGGTGTTGGCGAAGGTGGACAGGGCGCCCTGCAGGACGCAGTCCCAGGAGGTCCTGTCGAAGTCCTGCAGCACCCCGTAGAAGTAGGAGAGCGCCGAGAGCAGGTCGGCCAGCGACAGGTAGAGCAGGAGCTGCCGCGGCCGCGTCCGCAGCTCCGGCCACAGCGCTTGGGAGCAGAGCAGGAGCGAGGAGCCCACGCAGGACAGGACACAGGACACGAGCACCACGGCCCGCTCGGAGCCCAGCAGCTCCGTCGGGGGCAGCGGGGCGGGCATCGCACCGGTCCCGGCAGCGGCGAGGGATGGAGGAGCCGCGGCGGGACGGGAGCGCTCCGCGGGAGCGCCGGGATGGGACGGGACGGGACGGGACGGGATGGGATGGGGAGGGCAGGAGCGGCAGGAGCCGGGGCCGGCTCGGCAGCGGCGGGACCCGACCCGCCTCCGCTGTCATGTGAGCCCGGCCCGGCCCCCCCGCTCTCCCCTGGATCCCCAGGGAATCCCCGGGGACGGCGCCGGGAGCCGCGCACGGCGGAGCGCTGGGAGCGAAGCGGCTGCGGCCCCGCGGCACAGAAAACCCTCCGTTCTCCAAATTAAAAAACCCCGCCGCGACAGGACGGGTCAGAAACAAACGCCTGTTCTACTCTCGTTTCCTTATCTTTACTGTTGACTCCTTACTTTTGCTGTCGGGACCTTCTTCCGCCAGGACAGCGCACAGTTCGCCTGCCCCCTTCTGAGCCAGATCTCTCGGTGTTTGCGCAGATATACGAACACTCGGGGGCACACTGGAAAAACACGTTCAGATGTCCAGAAAAAAGGTTTATCAGAGCAGCAACACACACCACCGGTCCCTCAGCCTCCCCAGGTGACACCAGTGTTTACCTCCACCTTCCACATTCCAGCACTAATTCGCAGCATCCTGCTCCATCCTGCAACCTGCGGGGTGGAAAAGACTCAGGAGACACAACAGAGCGTTCACTCCCGTGTTAAACGGATTTTACGGTTCTGTCGATAAGAAAGAGCTTTCCCCCACCCCGCCTCCCCTTCAAAGAACTCACAGGTTGAAAGCATGTCCTTGTTTGCCTGATCCTTCACTGGCTTCCACACAGACAGCTCGTGCTTTACACCTTTGATGTAGATGTGCTCCATTTTCAAAGGGCGTTGCTGTCTCAGGTGTCTTGTTCTCTCAAACAGTTTAATCATTTCCCAGCCGTGAAGGATCCCTGCTGAACTCAGTCTTTAACAGGGTTTACTGGGACCTGTAAAACCAGCTGTCCCCACTCAAGCTTCTCCCAGCACCCCGAAGCCACCTAACACACCCCAGAAAACACACCTGATGGAAACACCTTAAAAAACCCACAAACGATTTCATGTCTTCATGTCACTTTTGGCCACGGTGTCCTTTCAGTTTTACATTCCCATCTTCCAAATCAAGAGTTCTCAACATTTTAAATCACTCCTTTCGACCAGTTTTGTATTTAAAACACACCGTTTTACAATCCAGTAACTTTTTCAGGGTAACTAATATGCTTTTGCACCATTAAAATTTTACTGGAAAATACATAATTCCACTTCTTAAAAATTAACCCCACACTCCCCTCAGATGTATAAGAGGGCCACCACTGCTTACATGTTTTTCCAAGAGCGGGTTTTTCCACTGCAGCAATTTCTTCTTCCCCTGCTCTGCTGCACAGCTGCACTCAAACCTGCAGCTCCACTGCCTCCTTAAGTTTTTTATTACCTTCATCTGGTTTTGACATGCAAGTTCAAATCCAATTTTCTAATGAATCCTGGAAGTCCTGGGGGACACATCAGTTTGGCAGGATGAGCCTTCACACCCACTCTGCCAGTTCACAAAGAGCTTCTGGGTAACACCCAGCCCTGCCTGCCTTGGGTTGGGTGCCAGTGCTGAATGAAGCCTTTAGAGCTTTTTATCAGGTTGATTTAAATCAGTTTTGCCACAGTACAAAAAAGGGGGGCACGAGGGTCAGGACCACAGAGCACCTCACAAATAGACCATCTGACACTTGCCTTCCCTGTGCCACCCAAAGACAATCCTGCTGCTCCAGAGGCACCTCCAGGGACAAGGTACACCAACACCTTTCCGAGAAGCTTCTGGATAGAACTTCAGAGCCTCTTAAAACTCTCTTCACTAAGTCCCCAGCTACATCCAGGCCTGGTGTGCTGCTCCTTGGTCACCTCAGGGCATCAGTCAGTTGTTCTGTTTAAAATTCCTTCCTCTGGAAACAAGATTGTCTTTCAACTTACCTTTTTTTGCCCTTTATTACCACTCAGTTAAACTTCAGCCGAGCAGGCTTTCACTTTTAGGAGTTTATTTTGGAGCCTGATGCCCTCTGCATGTTCTTCATAGGAAAAGGAAGTTGCAGCAACTTGCATTTCCCCTGAACACAGTTTGACACTAATAGCTTTTTTTAACTTATCATTATTCCAGCCTTTCTTTAGCTACCATCTGACCCACCCAAAAAAACCCACGAGACAAAGCTTTGTCAAGGCTGCATTCCCAGTTGTTGTTCTTACACATTCTTGGCTTCTTCCTTGTTGTTTGGTTTCCCCTTTCCCCAATTTTTATAGCACAAGACACTCCCCTGACTATCACAAACATCCAGACAAACCACATTATCAAACACGCTGGCTTTTGAGTGTTGCTTTTGAGTGTTGGATGTGGCTCCATAACACAGCTTAATTAGGCCTTGCCAGAGAGTGAATCAAAATAAATCCAGAATTTGCATTTCCCTGGGGCTGTAATTCAGATACTCCCTTCTCCTCTCTTTTAAAAAACAGTCTGTTGGGTCGTCAGATGTTGCAGAAATAAACAAATGTATCTTTGTCTTAGCAATCAGAAATAGGATGGGCAGAGGATTTTCTGCTGGGTCTCCCCCTGTTCTCTAAAATAGGAATATGGTAAGTTTACACACAGAAATCACCACTCAGCAGCAGGGCACCCACAAAGAGTTTGTGCTTTAAAACTGAGTAATAAAAGGCAAATAACTTCTTACTAAGGATTCCCAGCACCTTTCATTTTCTTGGCATCTCCACATCCAAGCCATCCAGCATCTCTGTGGCATTCCTGGCATTTTGATGTTACCTTCCAGCTGCAGGGGAGCAGTGCAGCTGTCTCTGCCCAAACACACGTTCCTACCTTCCCTCCCAAGGAATCTGCAGTTGTCCAGAACAGAAATATTTGGAAACTGCCCAAAGACACATGTCAACTCAAAGGCAGCATTGTCTGTAGCTCAGAAGTAGAAAAAAATCCAAGCAAGTAGCTTGTAATAAAGCAACAGACACAATGAAAAATCTCCTTTGAGAACTTTGCTTTCAGATGGTTTTTAAGGCACAGGGAGGTGAAGCAACCTGGTCTTTGGTGAAAAGACAAAAAAAAAATCTTTTTTCCTGACTTGAATTCATCTCACCAGCCACTCAAAGAGCTTTCTGACACACAGGCTACACTCTGCATCTTATGAGGCACTGGTTGAGCTGTAACTGCATAAATTTACCTCCACTGTGAGACAAAATGTACTGACATAACCTTTAAATTTTTATTACTTTTTTTTTTTAAACCAGCTTCGACGAGAAGTTTTTGCTCTGCCCCTGCAGCTGGTAGGAAGCTGGGCTGAGACAGTTCCCCATTAACTGGGAACCTGGTCATATGCCTTAGGACTTTTAAGTGATTATTAGGAGCTGAGACCCCACAGCACCCCTGCACATCACAGACAAAGGCCTGCTTTCACAGCACTGGGAAATCTCCTGGATTTAGTGCAGGATCAGTGAGACAGCTTTTATCAGAGATAAAGACACTCCACGGAAAAAGCACGTGAGCAGAAGTTCTGCTCTTGCTCTGTTTTACTCCCCTGAAATGCTCAAAGGCCAACTCTGGGCTCACCAGGGAGAGGAGCCTGAGCTTCTCCTGAACCATCAAGACACCATTTCCCAGCCCAGCCCAGAGCACACACGTGTGAGGAAGAAAAGAGACTTTGCACCACTTACAGCTGTTTGTTTCTGACATTTAAGCCAAGAAAGAATCTGAGTTCCCTTCACCACATCCACTTTAGGGCCACAGATAGGATAACACCCCCTGACTGCAAGTGGCAGCTCCCAGCACCCCCAGCAGCCTCTCTACCCACAAGAGGTCACTGCTGGTCCAGGCAGGAGTGTTTTCTCCCATCACCACTGTCCTGATCTGACAAGCTCTTCATAAAGGCTCTGACACCAACCAGCACATGGACCTTGGTCACCTTTTCCCATCCTTGCCCACAGCTTAGACAGTACTTTCAAGTAGGAGCCTGGAAAAAAATGGGTTGAGTCCAGTTTCACTGCACACACACACACACAAAAGTAGATGAGTACTGAAATAACCAGAACTCTTCAATGCTTTAGTTTTCAAACCACCCCACAGCTCATTCCAACCCAGGAAGCCAATACAGCTGTTTCTTGTACTCATCAGCTTCTCAGGGCTCAGCCTGGGAGCAATTAGACACCCAACTCCCACCCTCCTGAGAGGGATGCAAAGTTAAAGGCACCCTGCACAACCTGCCCCTGACACAGACCCCAGGCAGGGCACTGGGCAGGGGTGAGAACACCTGGCCAAGAGTTAAACCTGAGTCTGGAAAGAGAAACCTCACTCTGGAACTGTAAAACCATAAAGAAAAAAAAAAAAAAGCCAGCCAACAGTTTTACCAGCACCTGAGCTCTTCATTTCCAGGAGAATGGGACCATTTTTCTAAGTCATCACCTGATCCTTGGGTTCACTGCATCAGCTGAAAGGAAAGCCAGGGAAGCATAGTTGAGAGAAGGTTTCTGAGAGAGGTGAAAATCCTCATGCTTGTCCTTTGTTGCTTTTTCTAGCATGTGACAAAAAAAACCCCTACATTTCTAGCAGTCCTGGCACAGATTAGGGACCTAATCCTTGACTTCATTAACCCCATCTGTTCCATTTTTGGACAGACACTGACACAGCCAGCTTTTGACACAGCATTGCTGAGAGCCATCGAGGGCTGCTCAAAAAATTCCAGAGTGATCACTCAGGGCCTTCACAACAGCCTCTCATCAGCTGCCCCCTCCAGACAACAGCCTTCCTCACACAGATTTAGAAGGGTCAAGTAAAAAAACCCACGAGGAAATACATTCCCTACATGTCTACCAAGAACACTAAGCAACAAGTCAGTGGAAAAGGTGCAGACATCACACCCAACCTCAACACCAACAGCTCCCACTCTCCCTGCAGGGACCAGATGGGTCACACAACAACAGTCACCGTGGGTACAAACACCACCCAAGGTGCCCTCATGCCATGACACCAACTGAAAATAACTTTAGCTAGTTTTAACTCATTCCAAGCCCTCTGGGATTAGCAAATGCTGCATGAAGACCAAATACCCCGACTTTCTCTGCTGCTGCTGCTACTTGCAGGTTAAGACCCCCCTTCTCCTGCTTCCCACCCCTCTGCTGTTCAGCAGTACCAGGGCTGTGCCCTCCAAGCTGCTGCCAGGGCCTGAGTACTAAGTTGGGCATGTTCACTGCTGCTCCAGCCTGGCTCCTTGGGATTCCTTGGAGGCTGAAACACTCAGTCCCCTTGAACCAGACCAACAAGCACAGCTGTTGGAGCAGCACATTTTCAACTGTTGGCAGGCTCAGTGTGGGGACACAGGAGTGGCCCCGAGGCAAACATGACCCTGTAAAAACCTGCTGGATCGGGATGACTCGGGATTTGCTCCAGTCTTTCCTTTCCCATCTCCAGCAAACCCCAGAGCAGAGTGTTTGGACACAACTGCTGGAGCAGGAGACCCTCATCACCTACTGCAGAGCACTACACTGCATCCCTCCAGCAAGCAGAGATGCTTAGTCATGTTAAACATAAAAATGTGTAGTCAGGCTGCAGAGATGGCACAAGAATTCAAACCAGCAGCTCTCCAAAAAAAAAAAAAAGGCAAATAAAAAAGCCACCAGCAATGAGAATTTTTTGCAGGCAGAATGTAATTAGTTACAGTGCTGGAATGAAGCCAGTGACAATCAATGGATTAAAGGATGCTCCAAGTGTTGTGATAGGTTTTAATTTCAAATTTAAATTAGGGGATTAACACGGGATATTCCTTCATGCCGTGGCTGAGTGGAGAAAAATGAAGGTATTGCTATTGTGCATTCATAATGAAACAGAGCATGCCATGAACAAGCAAAAGATATTGCATTTCAGAGCTGGTCGTAAGGTCACCCAGCTCAGACCCAAGCATGGAAAGGTGGGTGGCACTTTGGGAAAGGGCACTAGAAAGGGGATTTACACAGAATACAAAGGGGCTGTCTCTGCAGTGATCTCTGTGGCAACCTCTCAATGCTAATTTCCTACCACTGTCATTATTTATAGTAGAAATGTATGGACTGCAACTCTTATAGTTAATAGTCAGAAAATAGGCCCGACTGTAGGATATCTGGGGTGCAATTTTTACTGTAAATTATAATTAATAGTCAGAAAATAGGCCTGACTGTAGGATTTCTGGGGTGCAATTTTTACTGTAAATTGACCTGGAGGTGCACACTTTGCAGCAGGGAGGGCTGCCTCCAGCCTGTGGTTTTAACACAGATGAGGCAGGAATATAAAAGCTAATAATGAGAGCCTCAAGGAGGGAGTCATGATGCAGATCAGCTTCCCTGGTTACTGAGCTTAAAGCCTCACTCAGGTTATTTCACACAAGTTCTTTGGAGCAGATGGAGAGCAAAGCAGCAAACAGACAATTTTACTGAAGGGAAAGGGTGTAACAGCCCAGGAGACTGTTCCTTCCATTGACACAACATCTACAGTCCAGAACCCAAACACGACCCCGAAAAGGGGTTTTAAAACACTTCTCACCCTTTGCCAAGCTCTGTACAGGAAACTCAGAGAGCAGAACATTCTCTTATAACCTGGAACTCAAACTCACTGACTTCATTAACACAGATGAAGTTGCTCAGCAGTCACATGGTGAGACAGGTCAAGCCCCACATGTTTGTCACCCCAACCACATTCCAGTGATTGCATCAGTTCCAGTCAGCCAACACCCAGCTCAGACTCAAGCCCAGAGCAGTGTCAAGTTGGGAAAGGGCACTAGAAAGAGCATTTCCACATAATACACGATGGCATTTTCTGCAGTGATCTTCATGGCAGTCTACCAAGGATTTTTTTTTTAGCCATTCTCATTCCCTATAACAACCCACCCTCTTTCTTCCCACAAAAAGCCTGGAACTGATGGTCACAGTGAGAGACAGGGACAAGGCAAAAGCAGCTTGGTTGGTCTAAATGAAATGTAAGCTCTTATTCTCCATGTGATTGCTGAAAATTTAACAAGATGTAGGCAAGGCCTTTCCTTCTCCCAGTGTTGGGAGGCTCTTGCACAGTGCAGGTTTGCCCTTTGCATAAATCCTCCTTGCCTCCCTCTTACCCAGACAAAGTAAGAAGTCGCGTCTCATTTTGTGTAATTAAACCCTGATTCTTTCCCAGAAAAATCAGCTGAGTTTTTGGGTGCCTGACCCCCCTGTATTTGCAGTGCAAGCTGCTGACCAGCACCCAGGAGAAACAGTGACCACAGGGGACTTGCTCCCAGGGCTGGTTCAAAGCCGAGTTAACTCGTCTGAGTTTGGGTTCAGATGGATTCTTCCTATTCCCCCAGTGCCTAGTGCTGCATTTTGCAGTGTTACCAACCACAGCTGGCACTTCACACGTTTTACACCCAGGAACAGGCGCGTGGGAAGGACAAAGAAAGAACAAAACTTGCAACACACTCATCTCCTCTCCCCTTCGTCTCCTCTCCGCCGCGGCGACGTCGAACGTCCCGTGGCACTGCTCACATCAGCTTCTGCTCCCTCAGCACCCCGAGCTCCAGCTCAGCACAGAACCCCTGGGCAGCATCCCAGCCTGGATCCCCATCCACCTGGAGCCAGGGAGGTGAGGCAGGCCCAACAATGTGCAGCACTTCTAGGGCAGTATACTTGCTGATTGCTTCCTTGACTATTGTTCACAACAACCAGCTAAGACACTGCCAAAGAAACACTCACAGCTGGCATCACACACGGATGGCAGGTCGTTTGAACTCCTCCTCTTCTCATCTGCAGAGTCTGGGGACAAACAGAGAGTCAGTGAAGCAGCTGCAGCAGTACTGAACAAAACAGCTTTCAAGGGAGGGGAGGCTCAAACCCATAAAGTGACAGTTCCCCTGTCCCTTACCCCCAAATCTGGGTTATGGCCTTTGAGAATTACAAATATTAACAAGATAAGCCCAGCTTACTTGCCTGCAATCCATATTTATTGCAATGAGTTCCCACATTTCACACACCACCACTCGGGCAAGACAGTGGAACAAAAACCACCAAGCATCTGGAAACAGTTTAAAGACACAAACTTGTTTAAGCTGTTGGTGGGTTCACCTGACTGCACAGCTCTGTCTGGGGTCACACACATGGAATGTCAGACAGAAAGGGAACTCACTGGGAACACAAAGGAGAAAGGCACCAACACTTACCTGTACTAAAGCCATTGGACTTTCCTGTTTCACACGTGGAACAGCCTGAGAGACACAAGGAATGGTGTTATCTGGCACTCCCGCAATCCTCTGTTCCTGGAAACACCTTCAGGACAAAGCAGCTCCTTAACTCTTGCAGCACAGCCTCAAAAGCAGGTTATTGCTCCAGGGCATCTTGTGCAACACTTGAGCATAAATGTCCAACACTGCAGGACAAGGAGCTCCCTGGCTTTCACCAGCCTCTAATGTCTTTCAGTGATTCACTACATCTGTGTATTCTGAGACTTCTAAACTTCTATTCCCCCTCCTAATGCACCAGGTCACCACTCACAAACACCACAATCTGGTTTGTATTTGGACACCAAGGCAGAGAGAGCTGAGACCCCCGATTGCTTCTTGCTCTCACCCTGTTTTGCTCAGTGAAATTAAACCTCATCTTCCAACAAGTCACCAGAGCCCTGCCTTCCCTGCAGAGAAAGGCATGAGCACCATGAAAGGCAAGGATTGGACACACCTCAGACTGAAAGGCAGATGTTACAGCCCCAAACTCCTGCTACCACCAAGTCCCCAGGATGGCCAGCACTGGGGAGCAAGTTCTTACAAGAGATGTGCACTCCAAGACTGGCCTGTTGGGTTTATTGCATGCATTAAGCCATGACAAATTTCAGTGGCTTCCATCACACAGGATGGCAGTGCAGGTGATGGGAAAAGCTCATGCCCTCTGTATAACATCAAAGGAGGCTGACAAAGGTGAAATGAAGTGCTGTAACTGCACATCAAACCAACCAGCACAGCTGAGAACAGTCATACCCACCAGGTATGTGATGACAGAACAAGGGCTCCACTCCCTGTGTCCCAGGAGACAGCACCAATCAATTAACAAACCACTTCTTGACTGTACCTTTGCACCCTGAGGGAAAAAGCAAACAATTCCAAAGCATCAAAATCAAGACTTGACAACAGTACCCACCTCCTTGCCCTGCAAATGTGGCCCACTCTGGAACGGAGCTGTCTTGTTTGAACAATGACCTAATCATCCCTCCAACATTTCCCACCAGGATCAGAACAAACCAGACTATCTCAAAGGCAATTAACAGGTCAGGGACAAGCACAGCTATAGGAGAGCAAAACAATCTGGTACAGAAGAGGAAGATACTGCTTCATCTTTCATCCTCCTCGGGGGACACACAGGACTGCAGAATTTGGAAACCATAAAACTTTCCTTTGAGCCACTAAAAATCAAGCACCACAGGGCCAGAAAAAGATGTGGGGCAATAGAGATGGGGTATTTTCCCCACAAATAAGAAATTCCCAAGCCTCTTCCACAGATGTGAATGGGATTTACCATCAGCCCAAACGAGCTGGCAGCCAGGCAAGGATCCTTCAAGTTTTACAAGCCCAGTTTGAAAACTCTGCAGCAAAAGCCAAGGGACAGAAGAGCTTCCCCTCTGCAGAGAGCTGGAACCACTGACCTGACTAAGTTGGTTCTTATGTCTAAATGGTCAGAAGCTCTATTTCCATGGATGATTAACTTGGGAACATGCACATGGAGTTGAGTTTTCCAGTTAAGGGCTCAGTTTGCCCCAAAAAGGCAACTTTCCCTTTAGATAAAAGATAACTCGTGACCTGTTTCACTTCACTTTGACTGTTGAGGTGCTTTACCTGCAGAGAGGTGTCCCAGCCTGCACAAATCCCACCAACTCACCCCAATCTTGTGCTGGGTTAAGGGGCTGGATGCCAAACCTGAGCTAAATCTCACAGAATGGGTGACAAAGCAGCAGGAAAAAGCTGCTTGGTGGATCATGTAACAGCCCAAGGAATCAGCCTGTGAAGAAATCACCACTGTAAAACAACAAGCTGAGGGGTGTGGAAGGTGGAAATACTCTCCTGTTACAGAAATACTGCATTCCAAGGAAGGTAAAAAACCCTTGTCAGGTGAGATCAGCAGCAGTCACTTCATCAGCACTGAACTATGTGATACCACAAGCTTCATTTAATTAATCACATTTATTTCAGGTTCATTCCCAGCACTGTGTCACCCTGCTCTTGCCAACCAGTGCAGTTTTGTGCTATGACTGACCTAGTCATGAGCTGGGAACTGAAGCATTACAGAGTTTCACTAAAGATTTGAGCAATTCCTGCTGAAAGCCTGAGGTAAACAGATCCTCTGCCTCTTCAGCTAATTCCTGTCATAAGGCCAGGCAAGGTTGAATTCTCATCTGTGAAATTTGTGGATGGAAACCCAGCAACAGGAGAAAAAAGTCTGAAAGAAAAAGATGAAGCAACAGTTCTCACATTTCAGGAAGATTTAGGTTGGAAGAGACTCCTGGATATCAGCTGGTTCAACTGCCCATTCCAAACAAGGCTGACTTCAAAACTACCTCAGGATGCTCAGTATCTTTGATATGGGCTGTTTTAATCAGCCCAGTCTCTTTCTAAACCATGGAATTAGAGAGGATGTCTATCTGAGTCTAATATGCTCACTAGGATGAACTGTCACCCCAGAGAAAAATGATCTTAAACCTAAGCAATTCCATGATTCTAAACCAAACCACTAGTGGTGGTTGCAGAATGAGAACAAATTTTCTCCTTTTTCCCAAAGAAGGTGTCAGTCTTTCCTATTATGAACCTTCAGGCAGTAGAGGAAAGGTCTTGCTCCTCCAAACACAGTCAGTTTTCCTGACTTTCAACCTCACAGACAGGCTTCCCCTTTTCAGATGAGAATACATTTGATATATTCTGATTGATTTGACAGAAATCCCACGATATGTGGGATCCTGAGTTTTGGGTTAGTGTCCCCAAAAGTTTCCAGGCTAGTGCTGTACTATCCCACCTTCTGCTGCAACTCCTGCAACCTGCTGAGTCATCCAGAAGATGGTTCTGGGCCGTGACTCTTGGCAATGCTCATTAAGCACTGTTATTATCATATTTTTTCCTGCCGTTCTCTTCTCCTCCAAAGTCCCTGTAGCATCCTAATTCCCCAAATACAGGACACAAGCTGCTTAACAAACTCCTGTTTGCCTTTTCTTAATTAATCACACAGCAGAAACTTTGCTTACGAGATGAGTTGACACGTCCCCAGACAGGAAAGAGATTTACCAGTTCCTTGGTGGGAGCTGATCCCGCTGAGGTCCATCTAAATGCCCAGGTGATCCCATCTTCCTGCTCCTTGGCCTGACACAGCCCAGGGAAGGTGAGCAGAGGCTCCAGAGAGGTGCAGACACCTGCTCCAGACTCGCAGCAAACCCAGACAGTTCCGGCTTTCTGGACAGAGCCAGGACTCCTCCCCACACACACACACGGCCACCACTCCCATGGGCCAAGCTCAGGCTGGGGAGGAAATGGGACAATACCTTTGCATTGAGTCACAGGCTGCTGAAAATGAAGCAGAACTGAGAAAAGCACAGCCAGGACCAGCAACTGCCTCGCTGTGTTTCACAGAAAGCAAAAATCACCCAGGACAGGCGACAGAAGGACAAGGGAAATGAGTCCTGTGTGACCATTTCTACCTTTAGGACCTGCATTCCAAACCTGGCTGGTTTCCAGCTGGTCCCTCAGCTCAGAGGGCAACAGGCTGCCCTGTCTTACTGCAGGTGACAGGAGAAAAAAGCAGCAGCAGTTTTGTAGCCTCTGGGGTGATATTGCTGATGGAAGCCAGATCTGCCCCCAGTAGCCTCTTCCCACAAACTTTCCTGTGCTCTGAGAAGCTCAAAAGCTCTCAGATACAAGAGGGAACACCCAGGAAGGAGCTCAGGTTGTGCCATTACCCAAGATCTGCAGGACAGCTGTGTCAGTCACTCCAGCACCTACTCCAGGAAATACAGGCACAAAAGACATGGTCCAGTTAAAGATACTGTGAGGAAAATCTAGAGCAACAGTCTCCTCCCACCCCTTGAAAGGCATCATATCGAAAATCTATCAGCTCTCACCCAAGTGAATCCTCATTTGGGATCTCACTGAGCCTGACTAATATCACTGGCTTAGGCAATATTAAACCCCCACATCCAAACAAGATGAAGCCATGGAATCAATACAAACATCACTTACTGAATTTCTCCATGTGCCCTGCTGGGAGGATGCTCACACAGCACACCAGACTTGGGCCTTCTCCCACAGCAGAGTTGAACAATTCGTTCTTTGCCAGATTCAGGGCAACTTCTTCCCTTCTTTTAGATTTCCTTTTCCTTTTTGCACGAAGACAAAGAAAAAAAGCCCTCTGCTTTCTGCACTCGAGGAAATTCTGCTCTTCCCTTTGCAGCAACAACGAGTAACAGAGCTTTCATTGCCTTTTTCCACCCCGTTCTCCCTAGTGAGAGCAGAGATGTCCAGCAGGAACATCTTAAACTTGGACTGCAAGCTCTTTACAGCAGCCCAGTCTCAGTGGCCAGAAGAACACCTGCACTTGTGTTACCCACTGTTGTAGTTCACACATCAAACTTGCTGCATGTTACCCCTTTCCTCTGCACAATTCCCTCCCCATACCTTATCTAACTGAAATAAAACACACAGACTGAACCCAAAGGTTTAAGCAGAAGCCAAAATGTTCTGTTAAACCTGCTCTGTGGTCATTTGTCAAATACCATAAACACCAGTTCTCCCCCTACAGCACCTAGAGAGGGTCTTTCAGGAATTGCCATTTTGGAGCTTGCACAAACAGCTCACAGCTCTACCAGCAGCTGAGTCAGTGCCATGAATTTCTGTGTAGAATTGCCTCAGACAAAATTACTTCCCAGCAAGGAGTTGTGCAGTGAAGCCTGGTGATGGCCCCATCCAAGGCTGCGGTGCTGCCAGAGCTCCTGGAAGCAGGGCTGCCCCTTTTCCCAGCCAGCTCCACTCTGCAGCAGCCAGTGCAAGCTGAGGACACCAGACTCAGGGATTCTGCTGATTCAGTACCTTGGGAGAGGCCTGGGCAGAGTCCAGGGCATTGCAGAGCTGGGAGGACTGAGCCACACGTCAGCCCGTGACTCATTAGCCCGGCAATGCGCAGGAATTACTCATCGATCATAAACCCAGCAGAGCTGCAAGGAGCCTCATCCCTGCTCCAGCCCCTCAGGCCAAACAGAAACCTGTGGGTTTACAGCCTAGGTAAAGCTGAGAAAGACAACTTTGTCCAACTCAAGAAGTTCCCAACCTGGCCCCCCAGGTGAGGCTGCTGGGACAGAAGATGCTGCCGGGCTGATCCAGAGCAGAGATTTTATGGTCACAGCAGTTCTGTCCTTTCTTCCCTGTTCATCTCAGGCTCCTCCTCCATCAGGGCTTTGAAGGAGCTTTATAGAACCTCCTTCAGGACATGCCTCTCTCCTTCTTTTCCAAGGCCAGACCCACTCATTTGTACATTTGTTACCCTCGGATGCTCCCCAAAAGTGCATCTTCCTCCCCAGCCTGCCATGGGCTGTACCTACTTACACAACAGAAGGGGCTGTCATGCCTTGTAAGATGCATTTGATGAGTTCATCACGAGGGCACTGCAATATTCTAGACAAGGTCAGGGTCTTGCACATCAGCTGCTTCCCTTGTGCAGGGCTATAACAGCAGACACCCATCACTGGGGAGAACATTTACAGAAAGGCTCCAGAGAAAAGGTTCAAACTCCATTTTCAGTAGTATAAAGTTGGTTTTTTTAAACTCTAATTCATCTTACCAAAGCCTTGGCTTGTCCACTGGGTGCAGGATTCTTGTTTCAGGGAGAAGGCAGCTTCAGACAGGCTGGGCATAGGTTGGATGCCTGGTCACTTCTCCTACAATACAGTCAGATGAAAACAAACAAAAAAAAATACATAAAAAAGTGAAAACTTGACTTCGAGTCCCACAGTTGTAATAAGCCCCTTCAGCTGAGCCTCTCTCTGGAAACAAAACAATGGCTCATGTGTTATTAACTTCTCTCCATTTGCATTAAGAGATGATCTGTACCAGTCACTGCAAGATTACTGGTGTTTTACCTTCAGAACACAGGGAAGCACAGAGTGCCCTACAAAAGGGACTAATAAGTTTCATTGTATACCCAAAATATTTTTTTTTGTGTGTGCCTCAGTTTTCGGAAGCTGCTTAAAATAGGTCAATGAACTTTCCCAGGGCACAAAACCCAGTGTGAGACGACCAGACAGAAGTGTGGCCACCAGAACTGCCTGTACTCAGCATCCTTGGGTTGGGTGCAGAGGGCAGGAAGTGGAAGAGAAGGAAAAAAGGAGCCTCATTATGGAAGAATCCTTTGCCCCTCTTGCCCTGTTTGGAATTCAGGCTGAGCAGGTCATTTCACAGAACCCACGACTGCACTGTGCCCAAGGCTTTGCTGCACTCCTCTGGAGCAGAGCCCTGGATGCAACCCCATGCACGAGGTACATGATTCTGGCAGGGGCTGATTTTTCAGGGAATAGAAGAGCTGCAGTGTGCCCAGTGTGCCCACTGGAGCTGCCAGTGGGACAGGGTTAAAGCCCAGCCTGAAACTCCCTGCAGATGTGTGCAAATGGGAATTCATGCACCAACAGAGAGCCTTGCTGGAATGGTGCAGCTCAAACATTACTGGCTGCAAAACCATCAGTGGTAGATGCAAAGTATTCACTAGAAGAGAGCAGAATTCATCAGAACCAAATATTACATCTTTACTTTCAGGTCCTAGAAAAAAAAAAATCCCTTAAAACGTCTCTAGTCTACCAAACTAAACCAAAAAAGCACCTCACAGCACTTGAAAATTATAAAGCAAATAACAACCAAGCAAACTCACCCTCAGTATGTGGGAACTCCAAACCCCTCTGGTGTATATACAGCTAATAAAATATCAGACTGTACAGATGAGAGGTTGATTATATTAGGTTGATTTATATCTCTGATATAAAATATATTAAATTGTAATATATATATTAAATTGTATATTTAAATATATATAAATGTATATTTAATGTATGTATATTTAAATATATATAAATTAAATATATAAAATATAAATATAATAAATAACAATGCATAATAATATAGACAATATATAATGATAAAATAATATAATAAAATAAATAAAAATAATAAAATAAATATAAATAAATCGATACAAATAAATATATATTAAATTGCAATATATTAAATTGTAATTTAATATATTTTATATCAGAGGTATAAAGCATATAGGCAAAACACCCCACCCTCTGTGAGATGCACCTGAAAGGTGAGAGGGGAAATAACACCAAACCCCGAGGCTGGATCCGTGCTGCTGTTGACAATTAGCTCTGATGGACTGGTATTTACCTCTGGAATGAATCCTTGTGTCTTTTCCAGCTCTTACCCGAGGCAGCCCTAAGTCACGGAAAGGCCCCTCTGTTATGTGATGTTACAGTCACACAGATAATCCCACTGGCATTTGCAGACACCTGGAACCGCCTGCTGAGCAGGTGAGTGATGCCCAGGGCACCAGGTGCGGGTACAGCCCAGCTCCTCTCTGCCAGCGTTCAGGAACACTGAACGGGGCAGTGGGGAACAAAGCCAAACACGGCACAACAGAGCTTCCCTCCCCCGTGCGAGCGTTTGAACTGGATTATTTATCCTTCCCATTACAAAGGCAACACGTTGAGCCCGGTAACAGCCCTGGAAATAGGATGGAGAGGACAGTTTGTGCCAAGTGTGGCAGAAGAGGGGAAGAGCTGCCAGCTCTTTGCAAATAATTAAGCATCCAGCTCTGTGTTCCCCCCCCATGTAAACGCTTGACATGACAGTGAATCACAGAGCCGCTAATTCCACATCAGTTTAGGTGCCTCGTCTCCTGGATGTAGCAGCCAGACGAGCAACTCCTCCGGATCCCTGACTGCTCCTGGGGCATCCTCAGCTCTCCCCGAGCGGCTGCAGCACGTTCGGATGTGACCGCACGGCTGCTTTCTGGGTGCTGTGACCTCCTGGGATCCCTCAAAAACGAGACGTTCACCAGCACCCCCGACTCTAAAGTGCATTTGTGTACGAAGGGCTTGAAGGAAGGGGGGTTCAGAAGAGGAAAGGGGGGGGGGGGAAGAAAAAAAAGAAAAGGAAGCATTCTTTGTCCCAACATGACAGTCTGGAGGGGGCAGTTACTGTAACATTCCCCTACATGATTTCAAGACCTCTAAAAGCCTACCCGAGGTGTACATCTGCACAGACCACCACCACCCTCCAGAGCCCCCCAGACACCCCCAGGCTCTGCAGGAAGCTGGCAGGGGGTGTAAAATGGGCAGATACACACAGGACACGTGCAGGCAGGAGGGCAAACACACACAGGCTGCGCTTACCTGGGCACGGGCAGGGTCACAGAGGCTCCAGGTCAGCAGGTTCTGCCGGGGGCTCTCAAGGGGGATCCAAAGCAGCTGCAAACCGCAGAGGCAGATCCTCCCTGATCCGCTCCGATCCCTGGGATCGCAAAGACAAAGGCAGGCTCAGGCCTGAACAAGCCCAGACAAGCCCAGATAAAGCCTCTTCCTGAGCCTGCCCGGTCAGAGGCAAAGCCAGCCCTCCGGGTGTCACAGCGAGGTACCTCCTGCAGCCCGGGGAGAGCCCAGCACACATCGGCCCGTGACACAGGACCCAATTCCTGCCGCTACAACATCACTGATTCCAGGGAAGCTGAAACACGGGAGTGCTGCAACTTCTGCAGGCTTGTGCCAGGGCTGAACTGAACCCACTCCACTGAAAGAGCCCACTCCAGGAAGAATGTGGGATTTCTCCGGGATCCTTCCTGGCAAAGGAACGTAACGCACAGCTTTGCAATCCCACCAGAGGCTTCAGGGAGTGGAAAAAGGGAGCTGGGAGCCCAGAGCCACAGGGCAGCGAGGACAGCGGAGCCCCGGGGCTGCAGGACCCGGGTGTGGAATGCACACCCCAAACTCACCCCCCAAACTCACCCCCCAAACTCACCCCCCAAACTCACCCCACGGGCTCTGGGGGATGGATTTCCTCCTGCAGCCTGAGGACACCCCATCTCCCAGATCCACTCCCCCCAACACTTATTGCTACAAATAGCAGGTTGGACAAGGTGCCTTCGCCTCCCTCCTCATCCTCCAGAGAAGCCCTTGGTGTGCACACAGCTAATTAATAACGAGCCCTTCAGAGGCAGAGCTGCAGCAGCCTCCTCCCTGCACACAATGCAGATATTTTTCCTCTCCTTTGTAATCAGTGAGTGGTCACATTTACTTTTCTTAAGGAAGCTGCAGGGCCAGATTCAGATTTCAGCACAGCACCAGTGGGTGACTCCATGATCACCTCCAGGTACCCTTGCTTCCCACCCATCACGTGAAGATGCAGCTGGGGGAAGAAGAGGGTCTCAGGATTCGTGGTGTGACAGGGGTGAGTAGGATATCCAACAGCTCCAAAGCATTCTTTTTTTTAAAAAAAATAAAAAAGCATTTCTACAAACTTATTTTAAGAATAAACTAGCCTTATGCACAGACTTCCCCGAGCTTGAACTACGAGGGGATGAGTCCTTCGCTCCCTTCATCCCATGTGGGAAGGATGAAGAGCAGAGTCCTCCTGGAAAGGAGTGAGAGGTGTTGAACAGTGTTAACAGCAACAGGCAGCAAAAAGGGCCAATTCTGCACTTGTTCACGCAATTCATCAGGGCTCTCCCACTTCAAACTGAGGTTTCCACCTTCCTTGAACTTCTAAACTGACAGCTCGCAAATAAAACAATAAAAACCAGAAACCCCAACTTCTGAACAGCCTTTCTTTTCCATGTGAGACAGCAGAGAACCCTCTGCAGCCCAGAACATCCCACCATTTCCCCTCCCAGCACCCTTCACAACTCCCACCCCTTAATGTAAACCTTAATAGAGTTTAACACCAAGTTTCCACTGCACCCACCAAGGGAAAAAGAGTGTTCCCACATAATGTGGAGGAAAACAGCAATTTCAGTGTCTCTAAGTTCCCAGCTCCTCCTCATCCATTCCAACTTTGTCCCCTCCATGGTACCACTCTGGAGGTAGATTCGTGTACACTCATGCAAACTATCAAACAAGTCACTAATATATGACTTCTCTCCCCTCAAAAACCATCATTTAAATATATAAATGACGAAATTCTTGATAAACATGAGGGGAAAAAAAAAAATCAGGCTTTGCCCAAAGTCCATGTTTCCAAACCTCCTTTGTAAGGGCAGACAAGCTGAGGACTTTGCATCTGTGCACCTGGAATGAGCAGAGGATCCAGGTACCTTAATTACAGCAAAGTGGCCTGGTAAGAGTGAACAGAAATATTGTCTGCACAACACCAGTTCCTGTGTTTATGGTTGTATTTATGACATCAATGGCTTGGTGCCTGCTCAACAGGCCCTTTCACTTTGTGTGATGAGTGTTTCTCAGAGGCCAAGTAAAAGCTGGCTGAAGCATAGCCCGAGGTCTTCACACAAACCTGACAAACCTCAATAACCTGTTTTGCATCTTCCACTGCAGAAGCAGCTCGGGTGGCACCCAAGTTGGGAAACTTGAGCAGCAAGTGAGTGTGGAGGGCATCCAACTGCAGTGCCATATGTTTGAACGAGTTCCCCGAGCTGAGCTGGGAGCAGTGCCACGCTCCAGCAGGGCTGGATTCACTGGCTGTGTGTGCAGGCTCACAGCCTGTGTTAACAGGAGTTAACACCACAAATACCAGCTCACACTGAGGGAATATTTGCCTCCATCTCAGCAGCCACAGTCTAAGAGCACAGAGGCACATTTCACCTACTGACTCATCTTGAAACAACACCACTTGGTGTCTAAGCCTGTCATTGCTCCCCTCCTGCAGCTGGCTCTCTGCTGAAGCTTTTACTTGCAGCAACGAGATGGACAAGGGCTGGTGACTAAGACACATTAACCAGGTGGAACTTGAACATCAGCACAGGAGAAGTTCTCAGGCTGCTAGAGGAACATGAGCTGTCATGAACTCAATGACTTGAAAACTCAAATACAGGCCCAGCTCTCCTCAGCTCCTCTGCAGAAACCTTCTCCCTCCACTGTCATCTGGCTGCAGACAGACATGCCTGTACAAGCACACTTTGTAGAGGCTAATTACAGCTAATGAGATGGGCACACAGTCTCTTTGGTTGCATAGGTGTAAGCACAGAGCAGCATCAGTGAGCTCCAGCACCACTGGCAAATGCTTTCCCCAAACACTCTGTGGGTAGAACAGCCTGTGAACATTTCCCCTTTCTGCAGAAACAGGGAACAGAAGCAGAGCAAGCAGCATGAGGAACTGAACTAATTCAAGCACAGAGCAAGGGGTGATGTTCCAGACAGCTGAGTGTGTTCCCAGCAACACTGAAACATCCGACTGCTCAAACTCAAGTGCCTCCTTCACTCTGATAGTCTGGTCTTGCTCAGACATGTACTAGCTTCAAGATGAGGATTTTTGATTCTTAGGGAAGATTCTCCCTCCCTCCTGATCAGATAGAAGTGGGTACAAGGACACACCCCAGCCCCAGACCTTCATGCTGCACAGGAGGTGGCATCCAGCAATAGCTGCCAGGTACAGGGACAGCTCAACACATGGGCATGACTTGTCCCTGCCCTGTTAGAACAGACTTGCAGAGAGACTGAGACACACCAAAGTCCCCCGGGCTGCAACAGCCCGAAGTTGAGGCACTTTGCAGAAAAGGAATAGAGTTTGTCAGTGTAAAAACCTGTCCTGTAGTCTCAGAGGGGGGAAAAATGCCACTGAGGACATGGCAGCACGTTACTGCTCTAGGAAGCAGACAGCCCTTCAAAGAGCTGATCTCCTCCTCCTGGGCTGCATCACTCCTCCCCAGGGTCACAGTCACAGGAGCAGGGCTTGGATGGCACAGGGATTCTGCCTCTTAGCTGGTGGAACAAATGGACAGCAGCAAGCTGGAGACCCAGCTGCAGATCAGAAAAGGCAAAAGGACAAAAGAGAGATTTTTTGGACTAAGGTCATCTGAGCAAAGAGTCACAAGAAACTCAAGTCATTCAACCTGCTCCCTCAGGCTGAGTTAGGGCCAGCTACAGTCCACCAAGTTCATCCATCACCGTTTCCATCACTTTCTTAGCATTTCCATCAGGACTGGACTTATCTCCCTCGGAAAAGCAGGGTCTCCATTAATCTCTTGCATGATTTAAGAAAAGAAGATGCCTCCCAATTCACTCACTCAACTGATCTCTCCAAAGGCACACACTTGCTCTGTCAGGAATCCAGCAGGGACTGAACTAAGAATAGCACCTGAGGTGAAGGACAGAGCTTGCTGGTAGTATTAGCTGGTGCAATTACAGGTAGCAGTTCCCTGCTACTCAAGGGCTTTATCGTTGAGCAGCAAGAGAAATTAATCTTTACTTGGCGAGGTGTTGTGGGGTTTTGTTTGCTCGGTTTTAGCGACGGAGGCTGGAAGAGAGCAGAGGAGCTGAGGTTGGTGTGCTGCTGCCTCCCTCTGCTGGGAGCCAGGCAGAGGGGACACCTTGTCCTGGGAACGGGGTGGCCTGTCCTCCTCTAGCCTAGTGGGGACATCCCCCACGGGCCTCTGCAGGCACCCAGGGTGACAGGGCTGCAGCAGTAGGAGGAGCACAGATGGGAGAGTCTCCCTCAGAGCCATCTGGGAGAAGCCCATCACATTTTCCCCTGCTCGTTCACAGGTGGAGGACTAGTTCTTTGAGAATCAGCGTAAGAAAACTGGGCTTTTTGCTGGCAGCTGTTTCCTCCCCCCATCCCCAGCAGACTGCAGGTATTTTTATTTCCTTGCGTGCTTCACATCTGCAGAACAAGCAGAGTTTTCAGCAAGAGCAGGGGTCAAGTTCAGTTCCTCACACGCAGAGGTGCTCAGGGAGGGAAGGCTGTGCAGCAGCATCTGCCTTTGCACCCAGGGACAGTGCAAGGCCAGCAGAAAACTGACAGCTCTGTTCGCCTGGCCACACTTCCTCCACTGCCACTGCAACACCTTGATTCCTCCTGGAATGACAGCCAGGGAAAGAAATACTTTTCCTAATCCATCCTTCTCCAAAGCTGCCTAGTGAAAAGCAACTTTGAGCCAGCTGAGGTGGCACTGCACAGAGTAGGCACCAGGAACTCAAAGCTTTGGAAAACACACGTGTAGAGATCTCCACATCTCCTCTGGCTGCTGCTGCAGCTCTCCAGGGCATGAGGAGAACGTGGCAAGAAAGGCCACCTTTAAATCAACCTGCAACAGCACACAGGTGCCAGTTCCATGTTCAGCTCAAGTGGCTGGTTTAGATATTTGGTCACACAAGTTTATACAACAAAACACGCCAACATCACCACTAATGTGCTCCAAGTGGAGACCTTTGTTACCAGAAACACTCATCACATGTAAATTTGAGTCACTTTCTTAAAACGGAGTCTGAAAATAAACATCAGCTGAACGTGAATGCTATGGATGCTACCTACCAACAGAAATACATTCATTGCA